GGCGGGTAACGTGACATCCGCGGCTCGGGGTTTATAAACCTAACCCGGGGCAGCCGCCAGGGAGGCGGCGGAGCGGCGAGCGGCGCGGCTCCTCCCCACCCCGAGGTAAACTGGGCGGTGGGACCCGCACCCCGGATGCTCGGGGGGAGACGAACGGGCCGGGGGGCGGAGGTTGGACGGGCCCGGGTAGGGGAGCGAGCTCTGACGGGGGTCYGTGTCCTCCCGTGGGGACGAGGCGGCGCGGCCCCCGGGCCGCTCGGGTAACCCAGCATCCCCCGGTGGGTGCTGGAGGAGGCAGCGATGTGTTTGGGTGCAAAGGGAGGCGCCGGCCTGACCCGTTGTTGGAGGCTTTTCTAGCGTGTGCCTGTGCGTGTGTTTCAGGACTCCGGAGAAGCCAATGCCCAGGTTGGAGAGCTGCGCCTGGAGCTGTTCCTGCACTGCCAGAGCAAGGCACAGGACCCAGCTGGGGGACACGGCGGCGGGGCTGGCCGCCAAGGTGGGCGAGATGCTGAGCTCCTCCGTGTCCAGCCCCTCGCTGGCGCTGGTGGGTCGCGGCGCTCGCAGCCCCAGCACCTCCAGCGCCAGCAGCACCGCCAGCAGTACCAGCAGCAMCAGCAGCAGCAGCAGCACCTTGAACTGGAGTCAACACCTGGTGCAGAGGAGCGTAGTGCTCTTCGTCGTGGGTGCTTTCATGGCCCTGGTGCTGAACTTGCTGCAGATCCAGCGGAATGTGACTTTGTTCCCTGACGAAGTGATTTCCACTCTCTTCTCCTCCGCCTGGTGGGTGCCCCCGTGCTGCGGCACAGCAGCAGGTGAGTTGCTGACCTCCACGAGTGATTTTTGCTTTTTCCCCATCCTGTCGTGGAGGAGGAGAGGCGGTGAGGCGCGTGACCCGTGCGCGTGGGAGCCCGGCACTTCCATCAACAGCGAGTGCTGCCAGCCCGGGATTTGGGAAGGATGCGCGCCCTGCTTTAGCCACGCGCGAGAGCTGCCCGCGCGTGTCCGCGTGTCCCGGGGCTGTTTTTGAGCGGGTGCGCTCGGAACGCGGGTAAAGCCGGGGGTGTTGTTTCCCGGGCTGGAGGCGCGGGTGGGGGGGGGCTCGGGGTGCGGGGTTTTCGCGGGGTTTCCGCGCGGCCCCGGTGCCCGCGAGCTCCGCGCGGGATTCCCGCGCTGCCCCCGCCCCGCGCCCGCCGGTGGGCGTGGCCTCCCCGCCCCCCGCCGCCCATTGGCTGCGGCCGAACTGGTGAGTGGCGGGCGGCGCGCGCCATTGGCTGCGGCCGGGACTGGCCACGGGCTGGGCACAACAAGGAAGTCACGTGCGGCGGCGCGCGCGGGCCTGTCACCGGCCGGGCCACTGTCACCCGCCTGGCCCCTGTCACCGGCCGGGCCCCTGTCACCGGCCGGGCCCCTGTCACCGGCCGGGCCACTGTCACCCGCCGGGCCCCTGTCACCCGCCGGGCCCCTGTCACCGGCCGGGCCCCTGTCACCGGCCGGGCCCCTGTCACCGGCCGGGCCCCTGTCACCGGCCGGGCCCCTGTCACCGGCCGGGCCACTGTCACCCGCCTGGCCACTGTCACCCGCCTGGCCACTGTCACCCGCCTGGCCACTGCCCGCTGCCCCTGTCACCCGCCTGGCCCCTGTCACCGGCCGGGCCCCTGTCACCGGCCGGGCCACTGCCCCTGTCACTGGCCGGGCCACTGTCACCCGCCTGGCCACTGTCACCGACCTGACCACTGTCACCCGCCTGGCCACTGCCTGCTGCCACTGTCACCCGCCTGGCCACTGTCACCCGCCTGGCCACTGCCCGCTGCCACTGTCACCCGCCTGGCCACTGTCACCCGCCTGGCCACTGCCCGCTGCCACTGTCACCCGCCTGGCCACTGTCACCCGCCTGGCCACTGCCCGCTGCCCCTTGCCCGCTACCAATGTAACCTGCCTGGCCCCCACCCCTGTCACCTGCCTGCCCACTGCTCCTGTCAGCTGCCTTCTTGCTGCCTCTGCCCCTTGCCCCTGTCACCTGTCTGTCCCCTGTCACCTTCCTGCCCACAGCCCCTTGCCTGCTTCTCCTGTCACCCAGCTGTCCCCTGTCACCTGCCTGTCTCCTGCCCCTATAATCTGCCTGCCTGCAGCCCCTGCCCCGTGCCAACCTCTACCCACTGCTGGGCAAATGCCACAGAAGGCTCAGGCCATGGTGTGGCTGTCACAGCAGCCAGCTGTGACATACCCAGTGCATTGTCCCAGTTCATCAACTCCCCCCCAGTCCATGTGAAAACAAGGCTTTGATGAAGGATTAGGGCATTAAAAGCAAGTTGAATTTTAGCAAATGAATCACTGATAGTTAATAATTTGCATGGAAAGTACTTTAAACCACTCCTTCATGTTTTTGTTTAATGCAGTTTTGTGATGTCTCTTTGTTTCACAGTGAAGGGGCTATGAATGATAAACCACAAACTTGAATGAATAATGAACTATGTAGTAAAAAGGATGTCCTAGGATATTCTCCAAAGAGAGTTCTTGTAGTCCTGTCACAGTTGGATTAAACTTTGGAATTTAGCTGTTACCATGAAGAAAAAGTCCTGGTAGCAGAATAATGAAACTATTTCGGCACATGTCTGTTTTAGAATAGCATGTCCTGTAGCCTCCTTAACACGGAAGTTATTCCTCTAAATAATTTCAGGGACTAAAGAWAAAAGAGAGTAGGAAAGGAAATGAAGTTATGCATGGTAAAAGCAGCATGTCTAACCCCAGAGCTGGTGACAACACATGGAGCTGCAAGTCTTAGAAGAATGAAACTCATCTGGTGTTTTTGCTAGCAACTGGGATAACACTAGCCTATGTTTTTCTTCTGCAACCAATTTTCAGACTGATAAGGCTGAAAAAATGYTGTCTGAAGATAAAAACTTTGGTTTACAGTATGAGTAGTTATTATATCTCTGATATAAATAGACTGATGGCAGGTGCTTGTTTAAGTTCAGCTCTGCATCTGTTTGGTATCAAAATTCATCCGACATGGACAGGAGCACTGAGCTGACTTACAGCCCAGCAGAAGGAGAGAAAGCAGCTCTGCCAAGAAGCTTTTTAAGTGCAGGTAAATATTTAATTCACAGCCTGATTCACAGCTGATGAATCACGTTCATAAAACTGTCAGCCCTGCACGTGAGCAATGAACTCATATTCCACTCCTAGCAAAGCTTTTATTATGCTTTGCTTTTATTGGTACAAGCATTTGCTCAGGATGTCAAATGATGAATCCCTTTGGACAAAAGGAGCTTCAAGCCAGACACCTTAACAATGCAATATACATCTCTGCTTCGAAGGTTCAAAGGGAATACTGCATGTTTGAGCAGGGTTTTTACTTCTCTAAAGTGGAAGATGCAGGTGATAATTGTCTTTTCTCCATCAGGCTTACAGTAGCGTGATGAGCACTTCTGCTTTCTCAAGCACTTGTGTGCCAAGCTTATATTTAATGATACTGGAGTAGTGATGTTGTCACAGCTGCTMCAAGTGTGTTCCTTGTCTTGCAGCCGTGGTTGGCCTGCTGTACCCCTGCATCGACAGCCACCTCGGGGAGCCCCACAAGTTCAAGCGGGAGTGGGCCAGCGTCATGCGCTGCATCGCCGTGTTCGTGGGCATCAACCACGCCAGTGCTGTATCCTTCTGCTAGTGCTTGCTCCCTGAGCTTATTCTGTGCTCATGGAACTGTCTCCCACTTGGGTCTGGGAGAATTCTGAAAGTAAATGTGGTGCTTCTGGCAGAGAAGTTCTGTGAGACCTGCTGGGCRCTGCAGAAGTTACTGCAGGATGTAAAACACAGCTCAAAGTGTTACGGGAGAGAAGAGGGATCAACTTCACAGTATCTCTTGTATAACTACAAGTGTAACCATAAAGTTGTGTTATTTTAATCTATATCATGTCTGCATCTAAAATTTGACACAGTTAACCAGTGATGTGCTAGTGAGAAACACAAAATGAGAGCGTTTTGTGTGTTGGATAGTGGTGGTTTGAGCAAAAAGCCTAAGTCRGCTGGATTACCCAGGTTATTCGAGGCAAAAATACATAAAAGTTAAATATATTAAAATGTAGTGTATACTCTAGATGCTCAGTRTGACAAAAATTGATGTTGACTTTGCAGTCATGCTCCAGTCAGAGTCAACAAGAGCTGATTGCTTAGCAGGTCTGAAAACCATATCCTCAGTGTATCATATTTGAAGACAGAGAATAGTCCTTACTTTCAGTTTGTGCTCTCCCTTGTTCCGTTTCAGCAACAGGATGTCTGCAGATTTAAAAGCATTGTCCTTAACATCTTTTTCCAGAAACTAGATTTTGCAAACAACATCCAGCTGTCCCTGACTCTGGCAGCCTTATCACTGGGGCTTTGGTGGACATTTGATCGGTCMAGAAGTGGTCTCGGACTTGGGATTACAATAGCCTTTGTAGCAACTCTGATAACCCAGTTTCTTGTATATAATGGTGTTTATCAGTAAGTTAAACTTCTAAAATACTATTTCAATCCTCCTGTCTTAGCTAAAAACATGGGGGCATATGAACTGGAATTTGGTTATTAACATATTTGGTACATTCTTATGAGAAGATACTGTCTGAGGTGATGGTCCAGTTTTTTCCAAATGACCAGACTGAGRGCTGGGGGTGGAAGGTGGGGAGCAGATGAATTTGGGTGTATGTTGAAATTGTAACAGTTAAGAAAACTGAACTTTTACTGGCTCTCAGCAGGGTGAATTTTTAAACTTTACTGGCTTGGACATGGGGGTTTACAAGCTTATGCAGTTCACAGAGTTAATTTGGTCTCCTATTTTCCTATTTTTGCTTSTTTGTGTCAATCCAGGGAGAAAGTTCTATAGCATCTCATTAACAGTATGTAAGATGATGAAAGTAACTTGTCTCTGACTTATTTCCTTTTCTTTACCAGGTATACATCCCCAGATTTCCTTTACATCCGTTCTTGGCTTCCATGTATATTTTTCTCAGGAGGTGTGACTGTAGGAAACATAGGACGCCAGCTGGCTATGGTAATTACTGCATAATTAGTAGTTTCTTTAACAATCCGAATGCCTTCCATTGTTGTTAGTCCAAGAACAAACTATGCCTTGAAGGGTATGACTCACAAGCTGACAGAGTTAAATAGATGTATTCCTAGGAGCTGCTCTGTAAGCAGACAACCTGAGTTGCCAGTAGAGTGGTATTGTCTTAGTAAGTGCTGGAGTATCTTTTGTGTTTAGTTTTTTTTTCCAGTAGCAGCCTAAATAAGACTGGAATCAGTACACACTGTTCCTGCTCATCACTGCTTAGAGTTAACATCCAAAGTGGCTGGAGAGCTGAGACACTGATGGGCTTTCTCTAATTGTTTAAACCTGAAAGTGAAAGTAGGGAAATGTCCCTATTTAGCATCAAATTCCACCWGTCTAGAATCAAATATTCTTTTACTGGTCACTTACAAATTGCTATCTTGTTTGCTAGGTTCTTAAGGAATTATTTCCTTGTGGCACACTGCAGAGTAAACCTGGCTGTGTGCTTGCATGTCAGCCTAAGGCTTGGTTGTGAATAATGTTCTGACACTGATGGATAGTAATAGTTAATATTATATTGACTTTACTTCTGTCTCTTTGCTATGTAAATCCCATAYCCTGGAAAACATCCTCCAAGTATATAACTTTCCTAAGGTGCCTTCAATTTTTACTGAAGGAAGAGCATTTGAAGCTCTTCAAAATACRAGTTGACTACTCCCCCTTGAAATCCCCCTGGTGCATACAGTCTGCATTTGGGTTTATTTAGGACTGTGTGTGTGGTGGAAACAGAAGGTATAACTTCTCTTTTCTAATTTGCCACTCACATCAAGTGAAAAACATAATTAATTAAACATTAATTCTATTGAAGTAAGTGCAGCAGAGTCTCAAAATAAAATTATAGTTGGTTTTGTGCTAYGGTTCTGTATTTCACACTGGAATATGCAGTGCTTCCATTGCTCCTGCTCCTGTTAGAAAGCAAAGGAAGGGAGCCTTAAAGAAAAAAGAGCAAAAAGGAATTTAGACACACAGAACCTTTTTTCCTTTGATATCTCTCACCTGAATGTRGTTAAAATCAGACTAGATCCTGCTTGCAGCTTTCCTGTCAATCTTGTCATCTTCCTTATATAGAAAGGGGGAAGTTGGGAAGGCAAAGCTTTTTATTCTGGTTATTTAGAGGTATTTTCTCACATGTTTTACATTACAATTACTTAGTCAGGAGAAAGTTGAAGTGCAGCAGTTTCATAGGAACACTTTTGCAAGTCATTGTGAAGCATGCAGTGCTGGAAATTCAAAGAAGCAGAGTSTATAATTCAGTCAACCACATCTTTCTTCTATAGAGGTAACTCAAAAGTACCAGTCTGTTTTGGCAGCCATTGTGGATGTGGCAAGAAGATGGAATGTAGCATTTTTTTTAGCCTRTGCTTGAATAAAACAGTTATTTCTGTAGCTATATTGTGCTGCAGCCCCCGAGCTATTTGCTACATGTGGCAGCTGCAGATCAAACTACCATTGTCCAGAGCAGAAGGTGGCACCTGTGGAAATCAGTGGAGTAGAAGTGCCTTGCTTCTTCCTCAGCCCCTCTCTAGCTTTTGCAGTTAGAAATTAAAATGAAAAGTGTCCCTGAGACATCTCCTCCTATGCTGATAAATGTTAGCTGGGAGATGCTTATTGCTTTCCAGTCACGGGACTTCAAAGAAGCTCAAATATAGTGACAAAGTGCAAACCTGCTGTTGGCAGAGCCTTTTGGGTTTGGTTTCAGTTTGATTTGGTTTGGTTTGATTTGGTTGGGGTTTTTTGCTGCCAGCYTTAGGATGAAACACAATGTGTTCTTTTAGTAGCTTTGACAGGGAAAGAAGAGGTGAAGGTGCTGCTGCTGCCATCAGTTCTTTCTGCTCATTATGACCCCTGRAGTTGCTCAGGCAGTGCTCATCAGCAGGGTTAAGTGGATACCAGCATTTCATTTTGAGTTGTAACCATCATTCTCARCATCTGACAGATGAGGGAGGTATTCAGAACATGGGCCTCACAAATATCTGTTTACTAGTGCTAGAGGCTGGAGAACTGAGAATGCATTCAGTAGTTGAAAATAGATACTGAAAATATGTATTTGCATTTTGATCTTAGAAAGAGAACATGTTACAAGCTTTGTTTCAAAGAAAAGTTGGTTAAATTTCTTGTAGTAACGTACTACAGGGTTCCATGCTAGAAAAGGGACTTAAGGGGAAATTAGTACAACTCTGCTACCAGCCTTTGACTGGAAAAAAAAGTAACTTGTGGTTGAAGGCAGTTTGAAAAAGGTCTGCTAAAACTGAATTAATGTCCATTAAGTGAACCCCTGCATACTTTCTGCTAAGGAATGAACTAAGATAGAGAGGAAAGATAACAAAGTATTAATAAAAGCAGTGCAGTGGATTTTTCAGATGCACTGATTGAGGCAACAACATCCACAGTGATTTTTTTTTTTTTTTTTGTCCACAGTTAAGGAGCGCGTCCTTGTTAAGCTTTTATAGGAAGCCATGCTCGCTAGGTCATTGTCAGCCTAACTAGAATTAGTTGACTATTTAATAATTGAAAATACTGCATAATGTAGTCACTTATCAGATGGCATTAAAACCTGACATGTGTTCGATGTTTTTTATCCATAGGGTATTCCAGAGAAACCACACAACGACTAAGTCTTTGAAGACGAATACCCAGTGCCAGTGTGAAAGCAACATTATGAAGACGTGTTCCTTTCTAAAACTGAAGATTATTTAGAAGAAATAATCTCTTTATGGGCTCACTGCACAAATGACTCGTGGGGGAAAAATATTAATCCACTCTTAGAATAGCCAAGTGAAATTAACTGCTTATCTTGAAATCTTACCCTGATTTACCGCATAAGCGTTTGCGTATGGCTGTTCTCTGGAAGAGTTTGACACCGAGTGCATACAACTGTTCAGGCTAAGTGGCAGTTTTCCAAGTGTTAGATTCCACTGTAAGTTATTGAATCAGCTGCCGTGTTTCAAAGCCTTGAAACTGAAATTTAATTACAAGCTCTTGTATCAGTGCCCAAAGGAAGTAGATCGATGGTGCTTAACAATGATGAAGTATGGTTTAATAGGAATAGTATTTATCCAAATCTTTAAAAAATAGGGTTATTTAAAAATAAGAGTGATCAAAACAGATTAAAGGCATCGCACTAATGCTTTTAGGAGTCTTATGAAGGAATCATGCCCTTACTTGTAATGTTGCATTAAGTTTCTGTCTTTGACGGTGGAGAGGGTTTGAGGGATGAGAAGGCTGGAAGCCTTGGTTTGGAATTTCTAAATTACTTCAGTACGAGAGGTGAACACTGGAGACAATCTTGTTCAAATGTGAACCTTTATCAAGAGATTCCAACTGGAAATTTCATTACTGCTGAGGTTTGCAAGATTTGCAAGAATCAAGTTATGGCCACATTTCTATAAGAAATCTAAGTGTGTGGGGATAGTTCCGCTTAATATTAGAAACCTGCTTCAGTGTCTCACCAAAGAACATCTTAAGTATCTCAAATGTCTGGTGTCACTGAAAAAACATGCATTGCATGTCATTGCTTGGCCCTCAAGTGTGTGCCCCAAACTTTTTCGATTTGTCATTTCCTCCTAGAGCTGTCCTTTGAGTCAGGGTTTGGACTGAAATGGTTAGAAAYGGAATTGGGCCTAAAATGTGATTTGAACTGTATGTGAAGAATAGCAAACAGCTTGTTTTCTCAGTTCAGTTTCTGAAAGAGATCACTGCTTGTTTTTAYACAACCCTATAGAACTTGCAATCTGTGATTGCCTTCTTAAAAACAAAAAGTGCTTATGTCACTACATTAAACATTTGGTGTTTCTTAATACATAGWTCTGGTGAGCACAATGTATTCATTTGATAGCTTAGACCACAGGAGACCTAAATAGCAAGTATTAGGTCTTAAAAGTTGAAGTGCAATGTACAGTAAGTCTGAGCCTCAAGTTCTCTTCAATATCGATCATTTCTTATGAGAGATTAAAGAGAAAAGGGTTCTGAGTTCATTTCAATGCTGCATGGAGTCAAATGGAGCAATAATTTATTTAACTAGTAAAGCTAGTTTTGTTGTATCTTACATTGAACCCAAATTTTTAGAAATACTCCAATTTTGTGGTTATGGTGTACTTGTAAACTTTTATGGATTTGCCTTTTTGTATTATGCAATTTTTTTTGTTGTTGTTGTGTTCTTTTCCAATCTTACATGGCTTCAGTTATAGTTAGAAGTATCAGTTAAAGATTGAACCATCAAAAAAAGATGTTGAGGCCAGGTAGCTCTTCTGGCTGTTTTCACTCTTCTAAGGGAGTGCTAGCTACAAAAGTTTAACACAATGTCTATACTACAGAACAGACCCCCATTCTAACCTTGCTTTGGTGAAAATCAAGAGTAATTTCGTTGGTATACGATCCTTCCTCAAATGTTCAAAACCTAAATAATCAAATTTTGTAGARCTACTTGAAGAGATCAGGACAGGTTCAGCTGTTTAAGAAGTTGCTGCCTGCTGGGGAGACAACTTTTTTAACCATCTTGAAACCCATTTCAAAATGTTATAAAACCAGATGAAAGTAAAGCTGACAGTGATCTCTATGGATATTTGATAGAGAAGTATTTAAGATTTATTTGTAAAGACTGAAACTAAATCTGTACCTGTTAGAAATAATGCAGCCAAAAATGTAAGTCAAAAGTTCATTTTTTGCCAATACTTCTGAGTATCTTAACCAAAGTGATTTAAGTTTGGAAGAGGYGGGGAGGGGAGTGGAGAAAATTTGCACTATTCTGAATTTGAACACTTAAATTCTCATTCTTACTGATAAGTTTTCAGCGGTGTGTTTGGTTTTACACTTTTTTTACTATTAAAGTTTTAAGATCAAGCCACGTTTGCCTCGGGTTCTGTGTGCTCACATTATGCAGGAATCTTTCTTGAAAAGGACAGTTGTTATGGTTGCATAACAAATATTCAGTCATGCATATGCAGTGGTTTAAAAAAGAATTCTAAACTGAACTTGGCACGATCCAGCTTCAGCCTGGGTTGTACAGTTGAAGGAAAACAGTCCTGCCATTGTACCAGGAAAGCAGCRTAAGCATGTTGTGGTTTTGTGGCATAAAGTACAGAATCTTCCTGCCATTGTCTTCCAAGATGCTGAAATTCATAATCTGAAACAAAATATGGAGGGGAGGGGGCRGGGTGAACGTGCAAGTTCCTGTTGTGGCTTGGTTGTGTGCAACAGTGGTTACTGAAGTCTGAAGCATCTTGAAGAGCACAGGCTAAGAATGAGCTGATCAGGCTAAGCACTTCTAATAGCAGCTTGCAAATTTAGACCAAAATTTTACTGCTCTTAAATGTCTGCATTGGACTTGTAAAAATTCCTGCATTTTCAGTGGAAATGGCGAAATGACTTTTTGGTCAATTTTCTGTTGGCTTAGCTGAAGAAAGCTTTAGGAATTTAAGTGTTTTAGCTTAAATAGCCTGTGTTTGTTTAACTTCAGTGTAGCAGCTGAGAAAGTAAGTGTTAACAGCTCCAAGCTGAGGATGGTCCACATTCCCCAGGTACACTGATTTCCCTAAAACTACTCAAATTTTATGTGGAGTAATTAAATATGTATATGTGTATGTATATATATTTAAAAGAAAGGGTTGTGGCACACAGCCTGGTCTTGGAGAACTAAAGCACGATRGTCTCCTTTTGAGTAAGGAAGAGGTGTACAAAGTATAAAGGAAAAAAAAAATTCTTCCCAGCAAGTGGRATGATTTGACGTGTGCAGATTCCTGCAGATCCATTCTGTGGGCTGTGCAGCCTTTGGCTTTAATCATGGGGATTTGCAGGTGCTAAATTAGCCACAGGAGGGCCCATAGTCTGCTCTCTGAATGCAGCAGGAACATATTGAGATGAATAATGAAATTAGGTCTCAATTGCCTTTACTGCACATCAGAGTAGCTCCAAAATTCATGAGAACAAAGCATTACATGCTGGACTAATTGAACAAAGCATAAATATGAGAGATTATTGAGGGTCCTGGCTTGGAAACAGGTGAGAGGTGTGGAGGACAGTGGGCCCTTTCAGCTGAAAGGTCAAGAATGGCACCTACAGATAGTGGTGATTTCTGTGGGCAATGAAACACCACAGGGGCTGCCCCATATGTAGTTTGAAGTCATCTCCCTGCATTTAAATCCTTACACTGTGCCCCCTTCATGGGCTGCAAAAGGGGCAGGTGAATATTCAGTAAAGCCATGTTCTCATGCCTGTCTGTGATGGGAGAGTCTGGAGATTGTGATGATGCTTCTGGCCTGCTCTGGTTAACTTTCAAACACAATTCAAAGYACATATGATAATTCCTATAAATAATATTACTACCCAAAACCACATAAAAAGTCAAGAGATTTACTGAGTTTTACTCAGTGAAATTTTTTGTCCAGCTGCAAATCATGTATCCTCTATTCCATTAAGTCTTGTTTGCATATTAAGTAGCTTGGGTGCTATCATTTTTTTTTAATCTCAAAGAAGTGCTACAGTGATTACATAAACTTGCTGTGTTTCCTAAGAATTAAAACATCAGCTGCAAATCAGCAGAAATTAAATACAGCTACATCATTTTCTCCCAGGTAGAATGGGGTTCCCTGTGGCAGCCACGTGTATCCCTTGGGTATCCCTGCCATGGTTTGGGGTTGGGAAGGGGAGGCCACTGCTCTATGTGAGTCTCTTGCTCAAATGAATGCATAGGGAGTTCATCCTTTTYGAAATATCTTAGAGCAGGTGCAAAAAAATTCAAATAAGTTAGGCTGGACTCAGAAGGGAGTCAAGGTCCCACCCAGTAAGGGCCCGTGACAGAAAGGCTCACTCAGATGCTCCTGAGGAAATATAATTTGTTCACCTGTGGCTGTGGAGTTCTTCAAGACAGAAGGTCTGGTGGCTGTTTTGGCTGCATTTTGAGCTGTATGATACTGGAGAAATCATAAAAATGGTTTGTGTTGGGACCTTAAAGACCATCAGATTCTTACCCCCCTGCCAGGGGCAGGGACAGCTCCCACCTGCCCAGGTTGCTCCAAGCCCCATCCAGCCTGGCCTTGGTCACTGCCAGGGATGGGACATCCACAGCTTCTCTGGGCAACCTGTGCCACACAGGACAGCCAAACACAAAGTTTGGGGCAGCTGGAACACTTGTTACATCTTGAAATGCATTGGTTTTTATTCTGACCTTTGAAAAGTGGTCCAAGATGTCTGACAGTGCCATGCTCCACCTCTTCAAAACCTTCTCTTTTTTATAAAAATGAAATGAGCAATTTAAATTTTCAAACTTTCCTTCTGGTTGTTTTTAATGTTACAAAAATGTGTAAGGACCTGTTGGTTCAAGTCTAAGAATTGTCTTTTGTTCTGATAGATCAGCTTTTTTTTTCAAAACACCTACTTTTTAAAAAAAATTCTAATCATTTTTGATAGATCACCTTGTTTATGCACTACCCTCATCAATCTTTTATTTTCTGCTGCAGAAAACCACTTTCTTCTTCCTTCCTGTCCTTTCTTGGTTAAAGAGCCTCCTCTAGGCTCAACACTGGCTTCATCACCCTTCWGACCTCATCTTCCTCTCTGCCACTCCAATAATGGGATGAAAGGCAGCAGATACCTGTGCTGGATCTGTTGTCTGCACACTCTGCTGCCTGGACCTATTTATCCTCAGATTTTCTTCACAAGTTGTTCAAGGATTTTTTTTTCCTGTTTTCTTTGCTGTTTCTGTCAGAATCTCCTTCTGCAATAAAAACTCAGCCTGCTGGAAGGATCAGCATCCCCCACCTCGGCACCTGGGGGAGCAAGCAAGGAGCTGGGTTGTTCTGCAGGATCTCTGCCTTGTTCTGACAATTGCATTTGGGAAGTTGAAGTTTCGTGTTTAAAACAAACAAAACAACCCAAACAGACCCAARGCTTTTCTCAGCTGCTCTGCCCTGGCTCAGAAGAGCAGCTTTGCAGTGTCTGCTGTGTCACTGTCACATCGTGCCCGAGTCTGCTGGGGCTTCAAGCAGCAGCACCTGGAGATGGGATCCCTCAGGCTGWGGGAACTCTGGAACCTGCAAGCCATGATTCAGTTTTTGATATCAGC